TATATATATATATATATATATATATATATATATTATTTTATTTTTTCCTCATTCCCTTGTGTAGAATCTTTGTGATTGCATGTGAGTAAACGGAGCCATGTGAATGTTATGTGCTCTCACATGTGCACACATAATTAATATGTTATGTTTTTTTTGCATGTGCTGTTCCCACAGATCTCCTCTAGAAAGGAACCCTGATGTGATTTACACAGAAGGTTCTGCCCCGTTCTGAGAAACTCCGACCGATCTTTGAAAACAAACAGGGCTGCTCCAATTATTGATACACAGATTGATTAAACTCACACTCTGGGGAAATGGAAAGCTATTTTTAGAAGTCTTATCTGAGGGGGAGAGACCGAGAGGAGCGCGGCCACAGATAACTGCTTCAAGGTTAACAATAAGAAAGATGGCCATAGAAATCTGATAAGACACTCTCCCCACCCACAATTCCATGCCTCTCTCTCTGCCGCTCTCATACTCATTTCACACATTTCATAACATCTAAAATGAGCTGGAATGACACAATGGGTCATAATACTTGAATATAATAAAGTGCTGTCAAAAGTAAGTGTACCTTTTGAAAGGTGTAGCTTTCTTTTTGTTGCTGTTCTCGAATATATTTGGTCATACTGATAGTGGAATGCAATTTCTTTTAATAGATAGGATAAAAACAAATGACAATTTTACAAATGCCCCTTGGAATGTGCATTTTTAAACAACTTACATGAACAAAAATTCCCTTTTCATGTGTGGAAAAAGAACATACACTTTCAACATACCATAGATTACTGTAAAATCTTTAAATCAAATACACCACTGTTCATTTTTATATTTCAAATATATTTATATTTGAACAAAATGAATACCTTTATTCAGCAAGGATGCAGTAAATTGGTCAAAAGTAACGTAAAAGACTTTTTGCAAAAGATTTCCGTTTAAAATAAAATAACTTTCTGTTCATCAAAGAATCCTGAAAAAAATGTATCACAGTTGCCATGAAATATTTACAATCTTTCAACACTGATCATAATAAGAATACTGAAAAATTGCATTGCAGTTTCCAACGAAATATTCAGCATTTGTTTCCAACACTGATAATAATAATAAATGTTTCTTGAGCAGCAAATCAGCATATTATACTGATTTCTGAAGGATCATGTGACACTGAAGACTGGCGTAATGATGCTGAAAATTCAGCTTTGCATCACAGAAATAAATTATACTTTAAAATATATTCAAATAGAAAACAGTTATTTTAAGTTGTAATAATATTTCACAATTATTACGGTTTTACTGTATTTTTCATCAAATAAAGTAGCCTTGGTGAGCGTAAGAGGCTCTTAAACTCTATAATGAATGTAAGTTTCAACCATGTGATGTATGTACCTCTGCACCTTTTTATTTAACAGCATTTTGACTGAATTATGTATAACATTTACAATTATTCCACCTCGTACTCATACTTTCTTGGGGATTTGAACCTATAACCTTCTGGCTGCCATCCTGCTTCTTTAACTATAGCTTCACATGTGTTCGTGTCTTCTGTTGCCAGAGCAGTGGGACACTCACTTTCTCCCCATCCAGCAGCAGGTGCACTCTGAAGTTCATGCGGTCCTCCAGGGTCACCTCTTCATTCCTGTACAGGATCTGAAAGATCCGACTGAACACGCTGCCATCGTGAACCCCTGCGCTGCTGAAACTGCACTCGCCTATGCAGCAAGACAGACAGACAGACAGAGAGGAAGAAAAAGTAGATTATTTCTCTGCGGTGCAAATCTCCAGAGAGAGATTCTCCACTGCGTCAACATCAAAGCACATTCAGTGACGCTTCCCTGCATAAAGAGAGATGTAGATGTTTCATTCATATCCAGTCTGTTGTTTTTAGACGGTATTTTCTGACAGCGTTTGGCAGGATTGTGATTTGAGGCTTTTAGAATTCGAGAGAAAGCAAAACATCAAATGAAAATGCTTACGCTGTCAGAGAGCAGGGCCTGTAGGAATACTATTAATATATATCTCAATTGCAGCTCCTAGATAGTGCCCTAGCTCTTAGATGGAGAACAAGAGGAGACTTTGGGTTGAGGAAATGCCCAAGTGTAAAACCTTTGTACAACATTACATTTTTGTTTTGTAATGTCACAGTGCACTGTTATATAAAAAAAGTACAATATTTGTAATTTTGTTATGTTACAGTGCAATGTTTTAAAAATATTTTAGAAAATAGCACAAAAATTTTATTTTTTGTTTGTTTGTTTGTTTTATTATCATTTTATTTTATTTAGTTAAGAAATGTTGTAGTGCAGTGTTTTAAAAATATTTTAGAAACCGGACACAAAACAACTTTGTGTTTTGTAATTTATTGTGTAATTTTTTGATTGTTTTGTTATCATTTTATTTTATTTAGTTAAGAAATGTTGTAGTGCAGTGTTTTAAAAATATTTTAGAAACCGGACACAAAACAACTTTGTGTTTTGTAATTTATTGTGTAATTTTTTGTTTGTTTTATTATCATTTTATTTTATTTAGTTAAGAAATGTTGTAGTGCAGTGTTTTAAAAATATTTTAGAAACCGGACACAAAACAACTTTGTGTTTTGTAATTTATTGTGTAATTTTTTGTTTGTTTTATTATCATTTTATTTTATTTAGTTAAGAAATGTTGTAGTGCAGTGTTTTAAAAATATTTTAGAAACCGGACACAAAACAACTTTGTGTTTTGTAATTTATTGTGTAATTTTTTGTTTGTTTTATTATCATTTTATTTTATTTAGTTAAGAAATGTTGTAGTGCAGTGTTTTAAAAATATTTTAGAAACCGGACACAAAACAACTTTGTGTTTTGTAATTTATTGTGTAATTTTTTGTTTGTTTTATTATCATTTTATTTTATTTAGTTAAGAAATGTTGTAGTGCAGTGTTTTAAAAATATTTTAGAAACCGGACACAAAACAACGTTGTGTTTTGTAATTTATTGTGTAATTTTTTGTTTTTTTTATTATAATTTTATTTTATTTAGTTAAGAAATGTTGTAGTGCAGTGTTTTAAAAATATTTTAGAAACCGGACACAAAACAACGTTGTGTTTTGTAATTTATTGTGTAATTTTTTGTTTTTTTTATTATAATTTTATTTTATTTAGTTAAGAAATGTTGTAGTGCAGTGTTTTAAAAATATTTTAGAAACCGGACACAAAACAACGTTGTGTTTTGTAATTTATTATTATTAGTAGTAGTTGTAGTGATTTATTAAGTAATTTTGGAGTGCAATGTTGTAAATATATTTTAGAAACAGCCCAATGTACAGTATATTGTTATTTATTTCTATTTTTATTTTATTATCATTGTGATTTTCTTTAGTTAAGTAATGTCGCTGTGCAATCTTTTAAAACTGTTTCAGAAACCACACAAAAACAGTACTTTTTTCATTTTAGTATTATTTTTTTCGTTTATTTTATTGTATTTTGAATTTCAGTTAGTGATGTCATAGTGCAATTTTTTTTCAAAATGTTTTAGAAAACACACAAAGAAAACAGTACAATAAATGTTTTATTATTTTAATTACATTTTTTATTTAATTTTATTTTTTTGGTGGTGCAGTGTTTAAAAATGTTCTAGAAACCGCACACACACACAAACAGTGCAATATTTGTCATTTAATAATTTTGTTAAATAAGGTTGCAGTGCAATGTTTTCATAATGTTTTATAAACCACATTTACCAATATAAAAAGTATAGTTTTCTATTAAAGTTTACAGTAAAGTAGCCTCAAAAAGTTAATGTAGCATTTTTTAACCATGAGAATCAGACCAAACCGCATATAGAAAATGTACATACTGTATATATATATATATACTATATAATGATGATTATATAGTAAAAGAAGTAGGGGTGTAAATCGGATGGTTTGTCACGATACGATACGATATCGATTCTCATACCAAGCGATACGATATTTGCCAATGCTTCAAAAAATTCTACGATACGATTTCGATACAGGAGAATATCGGTCGATATATCGATATTATTATATTATATACCTATTTTAAACAACCATCTACATTTTTATTATCTCACAAATGCAACCAAAACATATAACATGAACATTTATCTTAAATTTCCACATACTGCTCCTCAATTGGGACATTCACAACAAAAAATAGGTAGCGATTCTCATACCCAGCGATACGATATTTGCCGATACTTCAAAAAATTATACGATACGATTCGATACAGGAGAATATCGATCGATATATTGATATTATTATATTATATACCTATTTTAAACAACCATCTACATTTTTATTAACTCACAAATGCAACCAAAACATATAACATGAACATTTATCTTAAATTTCCACATACTGCTCCTCAATTGGGACATTCACAACAAAAAATGGGCCTACACTTATATATAATAAAGAAAAATAAATAATTGAAAAAATTAAGTCACACAAGATCAGTAATCTTAAGATATGACAACAGTCAAGACGGTCTTTCAGGCTTCTGTGCTAAAATATGCAATGTGTAAAATAATGTAAATCCTCACTAGGAAACAACACAAACGAAATACTCTTGTTGGAAAAAATACATTAATGCAGAAAAATAGATTTTAAAAATACAAAAATAAAGCTGTTAAAACTTTATTTGAGACATTTTTTGGCTGCTACTATGGTATCAGTGCTAAAAACCTTTTCTACAGATAACCAAATTACAAGCAATAGCAGAAAATAAATACAATATAACAAAGACACAAATTAAATAAACAGTGCTTTTCAGGTTTTTCAGGCAGATCTAAAATACATTTTCAGGTTCAGAAATCTAATAATCAAATGTAAAATACCACTGCATAGTCTAAATATAGATTAATCCTTATAAAAGTTGTTCAGTCAAAATCAGTGAGATTTTTTTTCTTTGACAGAAGTTTTCTGTTAGTCTGCTTTCACTTTAAGAAGGAAAGCACGGAGCTAATATACTGATACATATGCGTCTTCTTTCTTTCATCCATATCGATGGATCGTTACACCCCTAAAAAGAAGCATGTAAGTGCGCTATTGTTAGCCTACAATATATTTCTATTCAAAATACAATCAGGACACATTAAAATGTTTGTGGAACAATTTTGTTTACATTTTTAATCTTCAAGTTGGCAAATTGTTGCAATATAACGAGACTGCAGATTAATGAGTGTAGTGTAAAATATATTCATGTGACCTATTTCAATGTGTGTGTCTATTTCTTTTTAGTATGTGAGTCCCTGGTCAATGTTTTCAACAGGAAGGTGAGTAAATTACTGTTTGTTTTTTCTTATTTGACTAAATTGTTCCCATTTCTCCAGTTGAATTTTAGCAGATGATTCTGAGAAAAGTGTAAAGAGCCGCAAGTGAGCAATGAAAGTTTCCTCTAAGGAGAGAAAATCATGAATGTGTCCATCAAATCCAGCATCACTCGTGCCGTTTTTCACTATCCTGACACTAAAACAGCCACCGTCAAGGCTGCAAGCATCATACATCGGCCACCGGCTCCACATCCAGCCAGAGAGAGACCGAGATCTCGTCTGTGACAGAGAACAGCACCTCAGCGGGGTTTCTCTTCAGTGGAGAAGATGATAGTGCCTGTCAGAGAGGTGCTGAGTGAAACGGTGAGGGTCTCGCGTAAAGACAGACCCCCGCTGCATCCATCTCCCTCTGGTTGCCTCTTTCTGTCTGTCTCTCTCGTTCTATGTCTTTCTTCCTCTCTGCGTGTCACCAAAAACAGTTCTGCAGTGTGCGGAAGCCCCAGAGACCTGAAGAGAGAGCCGTACAGTCTGATCTTGCCAGAGGAGTCCTGGGGAGTGTGTGTATGTGTGTGTGTGTGTTTGATGGAGAGGAAGCGTCAGAAACCCAGAAAAAAGATGATGGATCGGCTCAGTGTGTTTCTGATGAACACCACTATTTCTAGTCAGCATTATGGAAATTTACACCACTGCACTGGAATGCGGCATATCGGATAATCTATAATATACCTTTTAAAGAGGTCGTTCTCCCAAAAATGAACACTTCAGTTAGTTAATCAATCTCATGTTGTCAAAAACGTCCATAAAACAAGAAAAGAGGAGTTTTTTTAAAAACCTGTCTAGCTCTCAAATAATGAAATTACACAATAAAAATGATTTCACAAAAGTAGCCCGTATGATTTGTTCACCGGTCCTTTAAAGTCGATTGATAGCTTTGTGTGACGAACAAATTTTGGGGCCCCGTCCAAACCCCTGATACTGCAAGCCCGTTGTACGTGGCCCCCCAGCCCCCCAGAGGAACCGGCTCTATCGCGTCCTTCGCCAGTAGGACTGTGATCTCTGCACGCAAGACAGGGGCATCTGCTGCTTTCACTGACGTAAAGTGGACGCCCCTGAACCTGGGAGGGCGCCGGGCGAACTGAATCGCGTAGCCGAGCCTGACGGTTCGACGGAGCCATCGAGACGGGTTGGGTAGCTCTAGCCAGGCTCTCAGACACCGCGCAAGTGGCATCAACGGAACTACAGGCGTACCCGCAGTGGGGCAGCGCAGAAGAATGCAAGGACCCGGCCCGGACGTCTCTTTGCCAGTCCGAGGCGGGGTCTGGGTGATGGTAACACTGACCTGCGTTCGAGCAGAGGGTGCATGGGTAGTCCGTTGGTTCGTCCTCCCGATCCGCCCACTGCTGCTCACTGGCGAGAGAGGAGGTTGAGTGTGATACGG